CCACACCAAACATCCATAAAAGTATATAAACTTCTTACGGACTTGCTCGTAAGCTCAAAACAAAAACATCCATAACAAAGAATCAAGAACCAAAAAACATCATGCAATCCTCCAAATTCATGAACTTCAAATTTCACAACCAAACATCTAATAGACCAATTGGAAATGAAATCAAACTTTGCACAAAAGTCCCAAATGACAAAATAGACCAATTCCAAGCCCCAAATAAGAAACAACAATCCAAATCCGATAGCCTCAAAGTTAATCCATGGTCAAACTTATGAGACTTATAAACCTTCAAATTGCCAAGTCTCGGCAAATGGAGCCAAATCATCCTAAGAACCTCCAAATCTATATCTGGGAATAGGCCTAAGTATAAAATTATTATACGAACCTATTGGAACCATCAAAATACGAATACGAGGTCCTGTACACAAAAGTCAAACCTTGGTCAATTGTAACAATTCATTCTAAAACCTCCCCGGAACCAAACCGACATCCCCCTAAGTAACAAAACAACAATCAAGCTTAAGTGAAATATCAAATGGGGAATCGAGGCCCAAATGCACAGAACGACTGGCCGGATCATTACAATAAGCTAATTACATTAAAAACATATAATGATACGCACAGATAAAGCATATGAAATGATGCATGTTTTTATAGATATAAAGACCACTGGATATTCTAATGCACCAATATGACATATAAAATAAATATTCATCAAGTTGCATCTATATGAATGCATTTACATGCGTGCATTTGTGCATGAGAAATACTCAAATTTTACATCAATCAGATACTCTTAACTGTCCAACAAACCAAAAACTAGTTAGTTTCTCATAATCATGCGCACACACGATCCAATTATAACATGGGTTATCATGTGACACTGAAGGGATGGATCTAATCCATGCGCCATAGAGCATTTAGCTTAACAATTAATTAGAAATCCACACAGACAACTCATATGTCATAATCATCTCAAATCGCACGAATAACTTACGTGCCATGATCATCTCAAATAGCATGACCAACTCATGTGCCATGACCACAATACACGCGAGAGAGCAATATGCAAGATATAATACATATTTACGAGAGATATCAATATGTATGGTGTAATGCATATCTATAAGAGAGATCAAAATGCATGGTGTAATGCACATGTACAAGAGAGATCAATATGCATGACATACTACATATGCATAATGTATGGCTATGGATGTAACATGTAACCCAACATACAAATAGTCCATCATGTAAATAATATGTAAAAAGAGCCTAGACATGATCTGTAGCATGAATAAGATGCTCAAGTAATTATACAATGTCACAACCCAAAATTCTACCAAAAGTCGTGATGACACCTAACCCCAAAATGTAAGGTAAGCCCAAATCCAAGCAAACCAAATCATGATAAATATAAGATAAATTGTTGATATTAAGTTAGTAAACCATAATAAATCTCAAGAACATCAGCCAAATCGAAAAAATACTACAATAAATCCCTAAACCCGATAGTACGAAGTCATGAGCTTCTAAGACAAAATACAAATGTCTATAATAATACAGTACCTGTCTAAAACAAAGAACAATAGAAATAGATAAGAAAGGGAATCCATTACTTGCGAAACAAGGATGACAACTCACCACAAAGTCTCCAAACAACCTCTAAGCGCCCTCTTGAAAGCCGCTAGGTCTAGTACCAAGATATGCACAAAAAATGTGTAAAATTATACTATGGCTACAAAAATAACATATACTTAGTGAGTATCAAGTCTAATCTCAAAGAAGTAATGGTGAGATTTTGGCAAAAGCATGATACTTACTGTCTCAACTTGGACGGTTTATAATTACATGATGTAACAGAAAATAGCCAAAAATAACTGATACAACACTGAGGTGCAAATAAAACTAATATAAGTATGCTTCTCAACTAAGATATCCAAAACATAGTACAATTTTTAAATCTGCATATAAAGATGGTATGCACCGAATAGCATCTATATGAATGTTTCTACATGAGTCTAAGATGATGATGCATGCTAAAGAATCAGTCTTATCCAATATCGAGTCCATCCCACGTGCTCCAACACGATCCAACGCATCCCACGTGCTCAACTCGATACGCGTATCACTTGTGCTCATAGGGCACAATGTAACACGGGTAATCACCTAATTGCGGAGGGAAGGATATACATCCAAGCTCCACGCAAAAATTCGTCATGCCAACGACATATAGTTATCATAATATTCACATAGTATAAACTATCATTTCATAATAATATCATTCTACTCAAATGTTCCAATGTGCCGTAATCATATCAATCCTTACTAATATCTCCACCTCTAAGGATGTAATTATATGTTTAAGAAATAACTAATAAAATGCACAAAGACATAATAAATAAAGACGTAAATAAGTAATTATGACATAAAGTATGACTACAGCTACACGAAAAATGTATCAACACCTCAAGAATAGCCCATCATTCCCAAATAAGATGTGACTTCTAAGATGAATGATTTAGCACACATAGTCATACAATCGAATAAAGCATACGTCGTGAAGAACAAACAACCAAACAAGACATAAAGAAGCCTAATACTCCCTAAACATGGTAAATCCTTAGTGCATGTATATATGGTCGTCACCTTACATATACATCACTCCCAAGTCACGTAGCATATAGCACATAAGTCTAATTTATAAACAATTCCCTCTTAACAAGGTTAGAAAAGAGACTTACCTCCTCCTAGGATTGCTTCAACCCTTTAATACCGCTTTTCCTTTGAAATTATCCTCCAAACAATCCAAATCTAACCAAACAATACTTAACAGGGTCAAATAAAGTCATGAAAATTAATTTTAAACAATAACACTTCAATCTCTACTCAAATCTCAAAATGTCAATAAAAGTCAAATCGGGATAACATGGTCAAAATCCGATTCTAGGGGTATATCCCATTGACCTATAACTCCACGAGCCGAAATATATGCTTAGTTCCTAAATTCAAGTCCAAATCAATGTCCAAAACCTCACATTATACTCTCTTAAGTGTGGACAAAACCCCCAAATTTCACTCTTAAAATTTCATGTTTTAGGTGTAGAAATCTATGGGGAATCAAGATATATGATCAAAGCCAAGTAAAAATTACTTATCCTCAGAATTGTAGTGAAATCGCTTTTCAGAATCTCCTCCTCTCGTTCTCCAAAACTCAAAATGATGAAAATGAGCTAAAACTCGATTTTTAAGCAACCTGGTAGGCATTCTCGTAAGTGTGACCCATAATGTGCATGTGGGACCTCGCACATGCGAGCCTCTGATCCGCGGGTGCAATCCTTCCTGGCCTAGTCCAACTGTGCAGATGTGCAAGACCCTTTGCAAGTGTGACTTTTTCACTTGCGACCTCATCCTCGCAGGTGCTGTTGTACCAGACACCAGAAATCTGCCGAACTCGCAAAATTATCCAAACCACCTCGAAACACACCCGAGTCCCTCAAGACCCCATACAATTCTTCTAACAAGTACATATACCTTATTCAAAAGCTTAAAACTACTAAAACATCATCAACACCAATAATCGCACATCAAATCAAAAATCTCAAACTTTCTTAAATTCCAAATACTAACTTCCGACTAAAAGTGCTGAATCAACCTCGGGTCACCTAAGCCCCAAAAATAACATACGTAGTAGGCCTAAATTATCATACGAACCTATTGGAGCCTTCAAAAGACCAATCTGGGGTTGTTAACCTTTAATGTTGACTTTGGTCATCTCTTCTAGTAGTAGGATTCAACTTAGGAACTAAGCGTTCTGAATCTCTCCCGAATATCTCAAAAACCAAAACACCCATCATCGTGCATCATAAATCATCAAACCAACCTACATAAAGCATCAAATTGGGTAACAAAGTTCTATAACTCAAAATGACCGGCCGGGTCATTACATTCTCCACCTCTAAAACAAATGTTCATCCTCAAAAGGGTTTATAAATGTACCAGGGCTGATGAAAAGGTGTGGATATCTACTTAGCATATCTAACTCAATCTCCCAAGTTTCCTCCTCATTTGGTTTTCCTTTCCAAATCACATTTACCGAAGCGATCTCCTTTGACCTCAACTTCCTAACATGTATGTCCAAAATAGCAATCGTGTCTTCTTTAGAGGTCAAATTCTCATCTAGATGCACTATGTTGTAGTCCAAAACATGTGACTTATCTTTATTATACCTCGAAAGCATAGAAACATAAAATACCAAATTAACCTCCGATAAGCTAGGAGGCAAGGCTAACCTATCAGCAACCTCATCAACTTTCTCCAACACCTCAAATGGACCAATAAACCTCGGACTCAACTTGCCTTTCTTTCCAAACTTCGTCATACCCTTCATGGGTGAAACTTTTAAGAGTAACTTTTCACCCTCCATATAGGTCTATCACGAACCTTCTTGTCCGCATAACTCTTTTGCCTGCTCTGAGCTTCTTGAATCAACTTTACCTTCCCCAACCTAGCCTCACCAAGCTCGTCCAACCAATAGGAGAAAGACATTGTCTACCATATAAAGCTTCAAATGGAGCCATCGGAATGTTGGACTGATAACTGTTATTGCAAGGGAACTCCACCAAAGGTAAGAACTGCTCCCATTGACCTCCAATGTCATTAAGAATCTGAATAGTCTGCTTGAATAGACAATCCTCCTACCAGTGAAAAGTCGTGCTAAGCTCGACCTATGTACCTAACTCCTGTTATAATGCTCTCCAAAGTGAGATGCGAACTGAGTGCCACAATCTGAAATAATAGAAATAGGCACTCCATACAAATGAACCTCCTCCAAAATGTAAATTTGGGCCGAACATTCCAAGTATAAGTAGTTAACAACTGTATGAAGTGTGTGGACTTAGTCAACCTATCAACAATGACCCAAGTAGCATCAAACTTCCTCAAGGTATGTGTAGTCCTAGAACAAAGTCCATAGTGATACGCTCACACTTCTACTCCGGTATAATCATCTTCTGAGTCAAACCATATAGTGTCTGATGTTCATACTTAACTTGATGGCAATTCAAACACTGCGAAACAAGCCCAATAATGTCCTTCTTCATCCTCCTCCACCAATAATGTTGCTTTAATTCACGATGCATCTTCATAGCACTTGGATGAATATAATACCACAAACTGTGAGCCTCCTGAAGTATCAAATCGCTAAAGACATCAACATTAGGAACAAAAAGTCGACACTGAAGTTGCATGACATCATCATCTCCAAGAACTACCTTCTTGGTACCACCTTGCTGCACCGTGTCCTTAAGCACCAGTAAATGGGGATCATCATACTAGCAAGCCTTAATGCGCTCAAATAAGGGCGACTGTGCAGCCACACAAGCAATAACTTTACTAGGATAAAAAATATCTAGTTACATAAATCTATTTGACAATGCCTAAACAACCATAGCCAAAGGTCTCTCCTCTGTTAGAATAAATTCCAAACTATCCGTACTCTCTGCCTTTGTACTCAAGGTATCCGCTAATGTATTCGTCTTACCTGGATGATACAAGATAGTGATATTATAATCCTTAAGCAACTCAAGCCACCTTTGCTTCCTCAAATTCAAATCCTTCTACTTAAACAAGTGTTGAAGACTGCGATGTTTAGTATAAACCTCACATGACACATTGTACAAGTAATGCCTCCAAATCTTAAGTGCATGCACAATCGTTTCCAATCCCAAATCGTAAAATGGATAATTCTTCTCATAAGGTTTCAACTGTCATGACACATAAGCAATCAACCTACATCAGAAACACACCAAAACCAACGCGTGAAGCATCATAGTACACCGTATATGGCCTTGAACCTGTGAGCAACACCAATACTGGGGCTGTAGTCAAGCAACCTTGAACTTCTTATATCTCTCCTCACATTGATCAGTCCATCTAAAAGGAACACCTTTTTGAGTCAACTTAGCCAATGGAGCTGCAATGAGTGAAAATTCCTCCACAAAATGATGATAGTATTCTGCCGAACCCACGAAATTCCTAATCTCTGCAGCTATCTATGACATTTCTAAACCGCCTCAATCTTCTTAGAATCAACCTTAATCCCATCACTAGATACTACGTGACCCAAGAATGCGACTTAATCCAAGCAATACTCACCCTTAGAAAACTTAGCATAATAATGCTTCTCCTTCAAGGTATGAAGCACAATATTCAAATGTTTCTCATGCTCCTCACTAATACGAGTAAATCAAGATGTCATTAATAAACACAATAACAAAAGAGTCCAAATAAGGGTTGAATATCCGGTTCATCAAATCCATGAATGCCGCTAGAGCATTAGTCAAACCAAATGACATCACAAAGAACTCATAATGACCATAACGAGTCCTAAAATCCATATTAGGGATATAGAATCCCAAATATTAACCTGATGTTAATCCGATCTCAAGTCAATCTTTGAGAACACCATAGAACCTTGAAGCTTATTGAACAAATCATCAATAGAAGGCAATCGATACTTGTTTTTAATGGTGACCCTGTTCAATTGCCGATAATCAATGCACATCCTCATTGTACCATCCATCTTCTTCACAAACAACACTAGTGTTTAACCCAAAAATAGTTTTGTAGTCAAAACAATTAAATAAATATTCGAGTTTCTAATAACCGATTTGATTCACTTTTCAAAATATAAACGATACAAAAAAGGAATGGATAATAAGGAAATAAATTGAGAAAGTAAAGGAAATAGAAATCTTATTGATGGTTGTATCCTTTCATCCATATGAAAGCAAGAATTATTCAATAATAGAGAATTGTAGTAGAATACTGTATTTGAGAGTACGACTTAGTAATTTGTTACACCCCATACTTTTGACGTTGATTGCATTGTTAGTAAACAAAAGTAAGCTTGGAGAGTTTAATATCCCTAAAAAAGGTTAAGAGAGGTTTATTGAAGTGATAAGTAAGTTTCGTAAGAATTCAGGGTTATACGAATCAAAGAAAATACTTTTTGACGGAGTTCGCCAAAGGGAAGTGGATTGCCATAGCCATACTTTTGAGGTAAGAATAAGAGCTCTTAATATGATAATAAGGACTTGTTATAAGGTATTTGAATCATACAATAGTTGTTCTTAAGCTTTGAAGTCAAATAAGTTGTAAAACAAAAATTTGCAAAAGTTGTCGCAAGATACGTTCATAATCTTACTGAAATTTGGATCTAATGTCACTGAGCTTTTTTCTCATTGTAATTGGAGTTATTGGTGTAAGGCCCTGAAAATTTCGCCAAGGAATTTAAGGTTTCGTGGTTTTGAGGTAGGCTTATGTGTTTGAGGGTTGTAGAAATTCTTCGCGGTGAGCTTGCTCACTACAGTACAGACTTTTTGGGTTGAAGAATGCATCGAGGTGTTGGTTGAGTTTTTTTTTTTTTTTTTTTTTTTGCTGAAGGGCAAATTATTCGGTCAGATTCACGACTGTAGATCCATTCTGTTGGCCGCAAAAGCATCGTAGAGTTGAGCAGGTAGTTGTTCAATTTTGAGGGTTGTTTCACGGTCCATTATGCGATCGCATACCTATTTCGCGGTCCACACTTCTATCGCAGAGTTAGCATGAGGAAATTTGGTTGGGTGATTCTGCGGCCGCATAAGTGGTCTGCGGACCGCAGACCGGTCACATACCTGTCCAGATCATCCCAGTTTTTGGGCATCAGTTTCGTGGTCCATTATGTGGACCGCATACCTATTCTGCGGTCCGTTCTGCGACCGCAGACTTGAGTTCGGGGGGTCCATTTTTCTATTTTTATACCCGACCCCATTTTGATAAATAGTCTTTGGGGCTTATTTTGGGGCAATTATCTGATAATTTTAGAGAGAGGTAAGAGTATTTTAGAGAGAGAAGGAGAAAACCTAACACTCTAATCATCCAATCTTGCGCGAACCTTCAAGAATCAAGGAAACCAATCACTACATTATCATTTATCCGGTAAGACCTTGTCCTAAAACCTTCATGCAATTGTTATGGGTTTAATTAGGTTGTGGTGGTTGGAAATAGGCCATGCATGTGACAATAGGTTGTAGTGTGTGGGTTTAATGAACAAGTTTGGTGGTTTCTTGTTGAAATTGGTTAAGGGAGGAAGAGATTACCATTGTAGAGCTTTGTAGTCTATTTTGCATACTAGATGTTCGACAAAATTCCTAAGAGAGTTACACTATGTGAATCCTTCTAATTATTATCCGATTTGCGCTACCTTCTTATGGATAGTTATTGCTAGAAGTGTTGGGACGTTGTAGTAACTTAAGAAAAGCTTAAACAAGGTATGTTGGCTAAACTCTTCATTTACAATTGAACCTCACAATGGCCTTGTAAGTCCCGTGTTGCTCATTATTAATTGATTATTCCGAACAAGCCTCGTGTCAAAAGATATATGGGTTCAAATTATATTCCAAATGTTCTTCTTTGTTGAGGTACTATTTTAGAAGGTGATTAAACAAGGGCTGTGTGTTAATATGTCATTATTTGAAGCGTGATTTTAATGAAAACTAGCATGTCGAATTGTGTAAGAAATCACATGTGTCTAAGACCCTTAATTTGGTTAGTTGCTCAAATGTGTATCTAAAGTCTTAAATTAAAATGCCTTGTTGTTGATAATCTATAAGTATGCTTGAAAGTGAAAGAAGGGGGTTGGAGATGGATAGTGTGGCCACCGTGCCAATAATGAGTGTTATACTTGTGTCCAAACGTGGCTGTTTTAACTAATGCTATACTTTGTAAGTGTTTCCAATGTGTCTTTAGATCTTACATATATTAATGGGTTGAAATTGTAATAGCCTTTTCTGGGAAAAGTATTTCAAGATTAAATGATGTGTTACTCGTTTATGCTTCTAACTTGTGCCTTGATTGCAAACCATTTTACTTCATTTCTTTGAAAGGAATTCATTGTGTTTAACTCTTCACTGCTAAAAACTTAAAGTTATGATTTACGAAATACTCTATATGTTGATGATCCTTGAAGGTAAAGAAAAGAAAGTGTGGAATATGAAGTACGACCGTCGTGCCATGAATAATGAATCTTGTGAATGGCCAAAAGAGCCAAGGAAATATTATTGTTGTGAATGGTTGAAAATACTAATCAAGGTTTATACAATGTGAAACAAGATGAGGTGAATACATTTGTAATTATACTACCTTTGTGTGCAAAAAAAAAAGTTTTTGGGAGTATCATTAACAAACCGAGGAAGGGTGGGTCATAAGGCCTACACCCGAAACTACACGTGCCGGTGTAGGGGTGATGGTGATGGTTTGTGATTATTCCCCTTATTTGGGATGAGATTGATATTAGCTGTGAATTGGAAAATTAACCCACACGGCATATGTGTGAAGGCGTCCTAATCGATCGGGTGGAGATCGGACGCCATGTTGCGCACATGGTGGTACTACTCTTAGTAACACCTTTTTTGCATCACATGTCAAACCACATTGTTCGTGGGGAGATGGCCTAGTCGATCGGGTGTGCATGGACTCCATGTTAAAAACACGGTGGTATATCGGTGTTAATGATCTCCCAACCAAAATATATATTATTTTTCATATTTTGAAAGCTGGTATGTGTTAACTGGGCATTTGGGTATTGTTGATTGTGACTTGCTGCTTCTATGGTTTTCCCTTTCTTATAATGGTATTCTATATTGAAAGTGGACATTTAGCTTTACATACTATTACTATTCCATATGTACTAACGTCCCCTTTGCCAGGGGCGCTGCATCTTTAATGGATGTAGGTGATTCGTCAGCAGGTGGTTATGACCCTCGTTAGCAGTCACTCTCTATTCCGGGCTTCATGTCATTTGACGTTGTACGTTATATTTTGAGGTATAGCCGAGGCCTTGTCGCCGGCACATCCATACTACTCTTCCGTTGTGCTTAGAGGATCTGTAGACGGGTTGTAGGTGGTATATCATATTGGGAATTAAACTAGTAAATGTTGGTATTTGGGGGAACATGTTTTCATCATATCACTAAACTTGTTATATTTTGGAAATCATAAATGAATATCCTTTAGTAGTAGAAAATATTATGGAACACTTGACTCTTCTCATGTCTATCACCTGTAAGATTTCTTATATTGTTAATGGGCAAGGTAGGGTAGAAGGTATCTAACAGGCTTGCTTAACTGGGGTATCTCGGTTGAGCGCCGGTCGCGCTCCCTGAGGTCGAGGCCTGACAATTAGGTGATCCACCTACCAAATGGAAGGCCTACGAGTCTAATTTCTAATGCATTAAATTGTTCGTTGATACGACATCGGAGTAGAGGGATATTTACTTTTTTGCGAGATTGCGCAAGTAGCTCCTTATGGTACCCACATTGGATGATGGAAATATTCAGATATATATCAAACGCCTACAACCCGTTTTCGTTTGTATTTTTCAGAATTTCCAGACATAAAACATTCCCAAATCCCTTTAAGAATTCTCATATGATCCAATGCCAAAATCAAAGGCAAATCAAGTAAATCCAACGTGAAGAATCCTATGGTCGTCGTCTTATCGCTTTTCCCCTTGCTGTGCTGATTTAGGAGACTCCTCGGAAGTTAGGTGATCTCAAAATTTTAGGGATTCTTGTGCTGGGAGGTAAGTTCCATCTTCTCCTTCTTGTTCATAAGTGAAGTTGCAGGAGTGTTATTACTAAGAGGTTGTTAAGAAAATTCTTGGAGGAACTTGGAATTTAGTTGTGTGTTGTGAGTTTCTCGTTAGAGACTGTATGTTGGTGTTAAATTTATTGATTTGGTTGGTTGTGTTTCTAAAATGATAATAAAGATAAGTATGGCGGAAGATGTGGTCTTGAGGTTAAGCTACCATTATTAATAAACTTGAGAGTTTTATGTACTCAAGGTGTTTAAAAATTGTCTAAGTGAAGGCTACCTATAGTTATTGATTCTATCTTTGATTCCAATCATTCGTATGATGTAGATAATCGCCTGTAGGATGTGCGACAATCTGTGGAACGTATTTAGCTTCATCAACAATGTACGTAGGGCAACTTTCTCTCTAGGCCTGACTCGATGAAAATATTCCTTTGAAATAATCTTCATGTCGTAAGATTGAATCACCCTAAGCCTTTCTGGACGAAATTGATCATGCTCTTGTGTACTCCTTATCAAATTCATTTTCTGGATTAGATATGTGTCATAATGATTATCTTGATGTTGAAGAACGTAGCGACAATAACGATAATCGGATGGGTTACGACAATAGGTTACACCGACTCTAATTGTGACATCTATTACGATTGGTCTTGGATTGCGCATATATAAGTATCTATTTTCTTATCGAGCCGCGCTATAGTCAGCCGGGTACAACTAAATGTGCACACCGCTTCAGCTGGTTTTGACATTACCGAGTTCTATTAAGGCCGGGTAAGACCGAGTCCTCTTCGATGTTGTGTATATTATAATATGACATGATTTTTCCCATAGAGCGGCTTGATACTATATTATATGGCACCATTCAGTTGCTTGATTTTTACAAACATGCATATATAAATTCATGGTTATAGCAGTTGTATGCCCTCAGCAGCCTCTTTTTGAGT